CTTAAAGCTCACTGATCATTTTATTAAGCCCTTTATCTGTTTAGTTATATAATCTGTGAGCCTGCCAAATCCTTTATTAATGTTTTTGTTTCTTTGGTTGTTCCTCTTTTATTGCTTTGTGTAATTCAGCTATTTAGTTTTTATTTCTACTTATGCCCACTGGATTGGCTTTGGATGAATTAGTTTTTGTTGTTGTTGTTTTTTTTGGTACCTGGAATCAAATTCAGGACCTTGCGCTTACAAGGCAGGCGTGGCGTCACTGAGCTACATCCCCAGCCTGGATGAATTAGTTTTTAAAAGCATTTTATTGCTTTGTTTTCTCATGGGGGCGGGGAGAGGGAGGGAGGGAGAGGACATGCACTGAGGATTAAGGATCATTTAGAGTAGAAAGACTCTGTTGCTAGTATGAGATCTCACTGGTTACAGTCTGTTTCTCAGTGATGTAATCTTGGCTTTGGTTTGGTATTTATCCACCTCTTTGACCTACTTAGTTTAATAGTATCAGACCCAGTCACTGCGTTGCCAGGAAAGAATTGCTAACAGTCAATATCAGCATTAACAGATGCAACCATACATCCATCAATCTGAGCTCAAATAGTTAGTTTCTCCCCCAACATTTACATATGGGGAAACTTTGACCTATTGTGTGGGAGGGCGGCTGGGTAGACCCCTGAGCCTGGATCTCTGCGGCTTTTCCACCCTCCTCAGATCATTGCTATGACCATAAAGTACCTCTTCTCCTCACCCTTCCCAGTCCACAGAGCACTGCCTGTTACTGCAGATCTCTGGGCTGTTCTACTGCGATCAGAAAGCTTGCCAATCTGGATGGCATGCTTTAAGCCTGCCTCCCAGCTGCAAGCACTGGGCACAAGCACCTGTAAGCCTTTGTCTTTGTCTTTAGATCCAACCTTTTCTGATAATTCAAGGAAGGGAGAGTGTAGTATAACTGGTTTAGCACCCAGTTTTCACTGATTGCCGCTGAAGCCTCCTTGATCCCTGTTCCCTTCCCTGTATGGCAAATCCTGTAGTTGTTTCTGTGCTCTCCCTTTGCAAGCCTTCTGTAAATGTGCCAGAGAATGATCTCTCGCTGTGACACCCCTCTCCAGCTCTCCTCTCACTGTCTTTCCCTGTTCACATTCTTCAAAGCTCACTCTCCAAACTTCAAACTCATGGTCAAAGCCCCCAGCAGTGAGTGATAGAGGCTCCCAGGCAGGCATGTGATGGGCAGCTGTGAGCAGTGAGGATGTCGTGTGGGCACAAGTATTCCTGGTGTTTGGGGGAAGAATGCCTATTCCAGGACCAGTTTGGTCTCCTTTCTCTCAGGGTCTTGCTGCCTGCTTATATAGCCCCTGAGCCACAGTATTCTCAGCGCTCAGTTCCAGTTCCCCACAGGGTCATGTGTCTGTCTTTGACTTTCCTAAGGGCTGATCAGTGCCCTCTGAAAAAAATACCTTTTGCCAACTTTCAGTTTCTCTAATGCCCTGGCCTATGAATATCTCACTTGCTGTATTCCCCTTCCTGGTAGGAAGGGCAAAAAGGTTAGGAGCTTCTTCCAGTGAAATGGCCACTCCTGAAGTGCCGGCTTCCTCCCTCAGGTGTTAAATCCTCTCCCAAGATCATGTGTACACTGGACCAGTGGTGTAAGGGATGCCATGGTCTCAGTGCGATTCAGCTTTCTTTTCTAAACATCCGATACTGTATTTGGATCTGATGAGTTTCTCCTTCTGTTTGCCTTCCTCTATCTGGCTTTCTTTGTGCCCCCTGTTTCAGTGTACTTTAGTTTTCTGGTGCATATCTGAGTTTTCCTTCTTACTGTGTCAGATCCCAGGGGATCCACTTTCTCTGAAGGTCTTGCAAGATGGGGGTCCATTTCATGATTCAGATAGGTGTGGTACAGGAAGAAGAGCATGTGGGGTGTACCATCTTTGGTTACCCTTGCAATGGTACTGAAAGCCCCAGATATTGGAGTTACCTCAGACTTTGCTGAAACCAGCTCTGACACTTCAAAGCAATTTTGCTACTGGGGGTTTCAGTTATGGTGATGGGCTTGGGAGTTCTTATCTTGTGTTCAGTCACAGATGTAGTTCTAGGTGTTTCATGGGGAAGGACAAGGGACGGGCTCATAGCTCCCACTGTGGCACTCACCTTATCTTATCAGCAATGTATGATCTGGTAGGGTATGGGGATAACTGATGCTAAGGTCCCTCACAGGTACAAAGCCCACAGCAGGTGTGTTATTTCCCTCTGTTGTTGTTCCCTGCATACTGGGATGATTTCCAGGAGTGGGATTTCAGACACCTACCGTTATGCCTGCTTTGGGATAGGTCATGAGCTGAATTAAACCCACCATTAATTAAGGTTGAAATATGCACCAAGGTCAAGGTGGAATTAGGTCATGGCTGGAGCAAGGTGCAACTCCACTTGGCTGGCCTGGGAGTGTAGCTCAGCACCCATTCAATATGCTTTAAGTGCTAGGCTCAGTCCCCAGAACCACAAAGAAAAAAAATTTTTTAATTAGGTAAATATAACATTTGCAACACCATCAACAATAGAAAAGATTGGGGGGAAATACTATATAATAAAATTAAAAGTTAAAAAATAAACAAAAATAAAATTAATTTTTAAAGGAGCAAAGTGATGAAGTAAAAAGGAGGAGAAAGAAGAAAAATTAAAGAGGAGGAAAGAAAGAAAAGAGAAAAGCAGAAAAAAGTGGAAAAAGGCAAAGAAAAAAAATTAAATATTAAAAAGAAGAGAACCAGGTGTGGTGGTGCAATACAATAATTCCAGCACTCATTGGAGGCTGAGGCAGGAGGATTGCCTTGAGTTCCAGGTCAGCCTTGGCTGCATAGTTTCAAGACCAGCCTTAACTACGTAGTGAGACCTTATCTCAAAAAAATAAAAAATAAAAAGAGGAGGAAAAAATACCAAACAGGAACAACAATAAGGTATTAATTTAAAAAAATAAAAATTTCCTCTCCACTGAGAGGCTCAAACAAGCAGGCAAGAGCAGAGCAGATGTTCCCAACTTACGCCAATCAAAGCTACCTCCCTGGCTTCTTAGACCCTGCACTCCTTGGACAGCAAAGTCTGGGGGTTACTCACTCTTCTCCCTCCCTGGTGGTCCTGGCAGGTGCCTCACAGGCATGATGATTTGTGGCTGGATCCACTGAATGCCTCTCAGCTGCTCGCACATGAATGAGTGGGTATGCAAGCAGAGCTTCCCAGATTAGGATTCCCTCCAAAGGTGTTTATGCGTCATGCTCTGGGAGTAGGGTAGATGCTGCTGCCACAGGGTCAGGAAGCTGGCACGGATTGCTGGAGTCCCCACAGATTCTTCAGTTTTTGTGCTATGCACTGGGAGGGCTGGGGTAACCTGGGCTTTGCAGTGTGGCCCACATGCCTCTGAAGCTGGAAAGATATGTGCTGGGGAAGATGGTGACAGTTCCATATGACCGTCATTGTCACTGCTGTCAGCGAGTCTGGTGTCCCAAGACCTGGTCCCACACACAGCCACATGTAATGACTCTGCCAGCCCAGTTCCCCTACATGCCACAGATAGCACAGAATCTCAGTGCATCTGAATCATAGTCTCTCCCCAAGCCACACTGACTAGGAGGCTGCTGTCTAGTAAGCCAGTGATATTGCCACAGGATCTCAGAGACAGGAAATGCAGGGGTGTTTGACTCCCAGAGAAGTAAGCTTAGATAGTAAGGCACTTCACGAGATGGCTCTCGGTCATAGCACCATGAGAATATGCTGAGAAGTACAGTGCCTGAGGGTTCCAGGTCTACTGTCTGTCCACAGTGCATTTCTGCAGAACACTGAAACCTGTGGCCAAGGTGCTTTACTAGGACTCTCTCTCTCTCTCTCTCTCTCTCTCTGCTACGGCTGTGGCTAGGTGTCCCCCAAAGCCTCATAGGTGGGGCTTTTCAGAGGTGGCTGGATCTAGGGTATGTGATGTTGGGATTAAGGGCACAGGATTACTAAATTAGCCCACTGATTAGTTTTGCATAGTTCTGGGTGTAGTTAATGGGAAAACTTGTCCTGGGTGTGGGAGGCACTACCCAAAAGGCTGGATAGGGTAAAAACAGAGGCAGGCTTGCTGCTCCTGCTGCTCCTGCTGCTGCTGCTTGCTGCTTCAGTGTCTTCTGTTTGCCATGGACTATTTCTCTGCTGCGATGCCTCTCTGCCATCCCACCCTGCCTTGGGGCCAGACAACTATAGACTGAAGCCTCTACAAACTATGAACTGAAATAAACCTTTCCTCCTTTGAGTGTCCAGTATTTTGTCTCAGCACCATAAAAAGTAACTAAAACACCCTCTTTCACTTTCATCTTTCCCTCTGCTGTACTTCAAAAAGATCAGTGCTGGGGTTTCTGTTTTACCCTCTGTTCCACTATCCAAAATCTCTGGGTTTCCTCAAGTCTCCCTATCCTCTACTGAACTTCAGCATAGCCCCATGACTACTCACCCCAATAAGCAGCAACAACCCAACTAGTTGTTCTGATTCTGTTCTGTGGAGAAGTAGGCAGATGCTGGGTGCCTCTAATCAGCCAACTCGAATCCCCTTAGATTTTTGAAGTGCTAAGTGTTAAGAAAGTTCTCTGGAGCCAAGCACAGTGGGGCAAACCTATGTTCTGGCAGGAGGATCACTTAAACCCAAGAGTTCAAAGCCAGCCTGGGCAGCACCACAAGAAAGAAAAGAAAATTCCCCCAGGAACTTGCTTGTCTTTCCCTAACTAAGAATTCAAGGCATATTTCAACTCATAAAAAAGAAACAGTATGTCCAGTTAATTGAAAGTTATCTACTCGTAGCTCCATCATACGAAGCATCTATTTTCATCATTTGTTCTCTCTTAACATATTCATAAGGATTGGCTATAATTTCTAGACCAATTTTTTGTAAGTAAATAACTTTCAGAGCAGTATCGACAATGTCACCTGGACATTTTAAAAACCACTTCCTCAGTCTGATTAAAAAGACAGAATCTCAAACATACCATTTTAATAACACTGTTTCCTTCAAATGTGCTTGGCATATCTGTTACCATCTCTTGCTGCAAAATTTCCACAGCTTTGGATTCCAGGCCATACTTCCGTACAAACTCTTCACTGGCCAGAACTACGGCTGCAGCACCATCTGAAGTGGGACTAAGACAAGGTATAAAGAATTAAACCCAGTTTCATCTCAATCCCAGGACTTCAGAGTAAGATAAGAGCAGACAGGCTGACTATGCTTGCTGGTGGGGGCACTGTCTTCTCTGTGATATCTGCAGTTAAAAATCACCCATGATTTTCCACTGAAGAATGACAAGACCTTAACTATTGTCAGTCACTGCTTGATTGATCTCTAGTGTCTCTCCTGAAAAGTTCTCATTACCAAGAATCACAGATTTGCCACTGAAGATGCATAAAGTCAACTTTCTGGGGACTTTCAGGAGTCCAAAAGGTTATTTCCCATCTTAATACAATAGAGATTCTGTTATAGGTCCATGTAGCTCCAATTTTGCTATATTCCAAACAACTCAGTCCCGAAATCCTTTGAGAAACTGAGAAGGAATAGAATAGGGAGAAAGTCCATGGTTAAAACTCCTAAGATCTTTTTAAAATAGGCCTTTCCCTTAGAGCAAGTTGTAAAGGAAGGTTACAGATACAAGGTCCCTCTGTAAGCTCGGCAGGACATTCTCAGTGGGACAACTCTCATATTGCAACAGATAAAACCTGATGGGACTTGTTTCACCTTCATCCCAGCCGATATCTCATACTAGGACACAGTCAGGAGCTACACAGTTCTCATTTAATCTTCTAGGAAATACTTTCAGGCAATTTATAAGATACTATTATCAACATTAAAACTATGATTTTTCCCCCCTTGTTTTAATTTTACCCTTAGCTACTATTACAGAGAGCTCTAATTAGTTCCCTACATTGGACATCTACAAAATGCTCAGCAAAAAACTCATTGGACTCCACTGGCCTAAGCTACATCTTAATAAATACAATTAAAGCAACCAAAGCAGTTAGCGGTCATGAGAGAGGGAGGGAAAAGAAATTTTCAAGAGAGCAGAAAGTTTGTCTCTGAGCAGGAACAGGTAGTAAGGGTTCTGCAGTGAGGTAACCCAGGGTGCGGACTACATTGTAGGAGTTCAATAAGGCGAACACCCAGACACAGAGCCCAAGGTTAATCACAGAGGGGAAGGCAGGGGTGGGGGCATTTATGTCCATCTATTAAATCTTAAAATATGTTTTGCTTACCAACACTGTAAGACAGTTAAAAAATCAAAAACATTTCGAGATGTCATTATTTCATCTAAACTGTATTCTTCTTGGAACTGGGAATACCTAAATACAAAAGAAGCAGTTTTAAAATGTGACACAGTAATTGTAGGTTTTATTGGAGATATCTTGGGCCATAAGAGAGAGAATAGCATGTGAATATTGTTTTTACAACCAAAAGACTACGAATGGTTTCCAACTTAAATAAATTATTTTGAGTTTTTAAAAAAAGCTTAACTCCCTAATACCTATGCTGTATAATAAAAAAATCTGGCCAGTCTTTGTCCTGGGTTCATGCCACGGTGCCTCTTTTTTGTTTGTTTGTTCGTTTGGTTTTTTGAGACAGGGTCTCACTATGTGGTTGAGATTGACCTAGAACTCACTATGTAGCCCAGGCTGGCCTTGAACTCACAGCGATCTTCCTGCCTCAGCCTCCTGAGTGCTGGGATTACAGGCATACGCCACCATGCCCAGCTTGTTTTTTGGTTTTTTTGAAACAGGGTTTTGCTATGTAGTTCAGGCTGGCAATGAACTCACTGTGTAGCTAGAACTTGTAGCAATCCTCCTGCCTCGGTCTCCCCAGTACTGGGATTATAGGCATGCACTGCCATCCCCAGCGCCAAGGAGCTTCTGAAACCCTTAAAATTGCCTGACTGATAGCAGTATCTTTGTTATGTAAGTGAGGTGGTAGGCCACAGTTGTCTTCAAGATGGGCGCCAGATCACCAGATGAATCAGCCCTGTGCATGCTGGCATTATTAGACTTTTGAGCCAGTTCATCATCCTGAAGAAGGGGTAAGGCTGGAGACTAAGTCTAGTTATATGGCCGGTGATTTATTAAGCAGGCCCACATAATGAAACCCAATAAAACTTTGATCGCAGAAGGGCTGCCTTGCCAGGGAACACCTGATGTGCTGAAAGGGTGACCAGAGGGTAACCTGCTCTTCCTCCATAGGGAGAGGCACAAGAGCTCTGCAGTGGGACCCTACCAGACCTAGCCCTACACTCTTCACTTGACTGTTCCTGATGTGTATCCTTCACAACAAAGCTGTAACTATAATTACAGAATTTCCTGAGTTCTAAAAGTGACTCTGGGGAGTTATCAAACCTGAGCGGGAGTCATGGGACCACCTGCAGCTGAAGTGGGTGCAGACTTGTAGAGGACTGAAGCCTCAACTCATCAAGTCTGTACCCACTCTGGTGCTTTGTGCCAGAACTGAGTTGCAGGGCACCCAGCTAGTGTTAGACTACTTGGGGATTAAAAAACAATATCACATTTTTTTCTACACAATAATAATAATAATAATACAAAAATCCAACATCCATTCATAATTTTTAAACTCCTGAAGAAAATATGTAAAGAAGGACCTTATCTCAATCTGATAAAAAGCAATTTATGACAAATCAACAGTCAACATCTTATTCAATGGGGAAAATCTGAACATTTTCGCTCTAACATCAGATTCAAAATGAGGGTGTCCATGATCAACACTCTTGTTCACTATAGTATTCAAAACATTAGCGAGAGCAATCAGAAAAGAGGAAAAAAAAAGGGAGGTGTATGTATAAGAAAGAAAGAAGTTGGGCTGGGGATTTAGCTCAGTGGTTTCGCCGCCTGCCTCGCAAGCACAAGGACCCGAGTTTGATACCCAGTACCAAAAAAAAAAAAAAAAAAAGTCCAAATATCATTATTTGCACACAACATGATCTTCTACATAGAAGATCCAAAAAATTCTATGAAAAGACTTCTAGAATTAATACAAAATTCAGCAATATACAGCAAAGGAAGTCAACACACAAAAATCAGTAGCATTCCATCCTTCTACTTTGTTGGTGGGAATGTAAACTAGTACAACTACTATGGAAATCAGTATGGAGATTCCTCAGAAAGCTAAAAATAGAGATTTCATTAAGTCCAGCTATTCCCCTTCTGTATATTTTCCCCAAGGAGTTAAATACATCCTATTACAGTGATGCATGCGTGTCAATATTCATAGCAGCACAATTCGTAATAGCTGAATACTGGAAACAGTTTATATGTCCATCAAATGAACGGATAAAGAAAATGTATCTATACACAATGGAGCACTGCTCTGCCATAAAAAAGGATAAACTTGAGTCATCTGTAGGAAAATGGGTGCACCTTGAGGCCATGATGTTAAATGAAAATCAACACAAAATCTTAACTATCACGTGCTTTCTCTTGCATGAGAAACCAAAGTATAAATAAATTAAAGAGCAAAATAAAAGATAATAGGAAACAGGGACACCTTTTGCAAATGAGAAGGGGATCAAGAGATGCTGGGAGGAGGGGAAGGAGATGTGAAAAGAATTAAATGGGTCATGTACATTTACCACCTACCCACAATGAATGTAACTGTTATATCCCACAAACAGGTACTAATAAAAAGAGAGAGAGAAGCAATGAAATGTGTGCTGAGATTTGATGGGTAAGTAGATAGATATTCACAAAACAAGAGAGAGATGGATATTCTAAAAGCAAGGATATAAATAAAAACACAGAAGCAACTACTGCAGGGCACACGGGGAAAAACTAAATTCTTTAGTGAGCCCACAGACTGGGAATATCTAAAATCAAATTATCAGAGGCCTATTATCACATAGGAAAGAGCCTGAAATTAGCATATAAGCAATAAGAATTCACCACTGATTTCACAGTATCTTTTGGGTCTTCCACAAAACACCCTTAGATCTAGGTATGGGATAAAATATTGTTAAATTAGGTATGTCCTAAATTCAAATACCCATTTCTAATCAGGGAACTTTGGAGAGCTAGAAGGAGCATGATATATAAGAAAAACACAGTAGTGATCCATTATGGTATAAAATGTTCTTTGCCCTTGTTTTATGTTTATTAAATTAGCAAAATTTGTTTAACAGTTCAGAAATACATCTTATGTTCCAGGTTCTGAACTTGTCCTCAAGGAGCATATAATCTAGTGAAAGGAAAAACATATGTATATATAATGTTGCCACTACTTAGAATTCAGGCATGTTAAGAGTTTCTGTAAGCTTCATATCCCTCAGCTACAAAATGAGAATAAAGCCAGACAGGAGGTTGCACGCCTGTAATCCAGCATTCAGGAAAAGCTAAGGCAGGAGAATCATCATAAATTTGAGGTCAGCCTGGGCTACACAGTGAGGCTAGCCTGAACTATACACTAGTGAAATCCTTTCTCCTAAAAACAGAGAGAGAGAGAGAGAGAGAGAAACAGAGAAAGACAGACAGAGAAAGGGGGGGATCTGCCTTATAGGGTCCTTAAGGTGATTAAATGTACATACTCAGCACAGTGACCCATTTTGGAATTCAATAAAGCTAGCTACTTTCTTTTATTGTCTGGCAGTACTATGGCTTGAGTGTGTCCCCAAAGGCTCCATAAGTTGACCTTTAGTGCCTACTGGGAGGTATTAAGAGAGGAGAACTTCATCAGACTATGGTGTTTAGAGGTGGGGCATTTGGGAAATGATTAAGATGAGGTAAGGTCATCAGGGTGAAGCCCTCATAACTGAATCCTGCTGGCCTTACAAGGAGAGAGAGTGGAAGAGACACAGACCCACATGGAAATTCCCTGCACCGTGCCACATGATGCCTTCTATCACCTCGGGACTCCGCCAGCCACAGGACTATCCCCAGATGTGGAACTCTGACCTTGTTCTTTCAGAACTGCGAGCCAAAATCAACCTCTTCACTTTACAAGTCACCTGTCTTTGATAATTATGTCAATCAGTGCAGAAAATGGACTAGACATGTGGTATTGCCTTTACAGAAACCCTAGTTGCATGGCAGCAATTCAATTCCCAATTGAATTCTTATCAATTCAATTCAAATCCAATTGCACTCGGCACTAAGGAAACAAAGACTATTGATCTGTAATATATCTGATGTAATTTTACTTCAGATTATTTTCAGGATATAATCATATTGTTTTGTTTGCTTGTTTGGTACCGAGGATTGAACTCGGGTCCTTGCGCTTGCAAGGCAGGCCACCAAACCGTTGAGCTAAATCCCCAGCCCATAATCATATTGTTTTAATGCAGTAAGAGTTAATGACAATAAAGTAATTGAAATCCTTCTTAGTTACTAATATGCATTTTACAAACTTATTTTTGGTGCTGGGGATTAAACCCAGGGCCTCATGCATGCTAAGCACAAGCTCTACGACTGAAATACATCCCTCGCCCCCAGTTGTATCTTTTAATACCAGTCACTCAGTATTTTTTAGAAGTCATTAAGCTTTAATGGTGTTTTAAGTATAAACAAGCCAAAAATTGGAACTGAAAAGTTGGCAAAGGTTAGGAACAAGTTTCATTTTTTAGTTTTTCACTTTCCTTTTTTTCCCTCTCTCTGTACTGGGGTTTGACCTAGGTCTAAGCTCAAACTTTCACCAGCTTTTATTTTTTTTTTTACACTGTGTGTGTGTGTGTGTGTGTGTGTGTGTGTGTGTATGTTGTGGTACTGGGGACTGAACCCAGGGCCTTTGCAGTGAGCTATATCCCCAGTCCTTTATTATTTTTTATTTTGAGACAGAGACTCACTAATTTGCTAAGTTCCCCAGGCTGGGCTGATGCATGTGATTTCCTGCGTTAGCCTCCAAAGAATGTCAGAATGTAGAGAAAGTGGGATGGGTAGGGGAAAGGTAAAAAGGGAAAAGAAAAAATATGTGAAAAGAAAAAACATGGAAACAATGTCTTTGTAAACAGGGAAGGGTGGAGGGGGTAAAGGGAGGGCTGGGGAATGGGGAAAAATAAGAATCAAGGTAAGTCATGTATAGGTACAAGATTCCAATGATGAATGTAACTGTACTGTATACCTAAAATGTACCAAGAAATTTAATAAAGATTAAAGAAAAGAATTATATGTCCAGCAGGCACCAGCCTTCTGTAAGAAAAAAATACAATAAAACATTCTAGTTAATATCTTTGAAATTTTACATTTGCTTTTCAATTATACAGTAACATATTACATGGTAGACTAAGCCAAGTTTTTATTATTTCATATCCCTGAAATACTTACGGGTTGTTAATTGAATGCTTATGATTTTTCCATCCAATTTTTGCAAAGTGTTCAGTTTTTGTTCCTGTAGAGAAAGAAAACATTTATTAGTGTGTTAATGTTTTTCTGTTGCTTATTAACCAATGTAGCAGTACTGTGTCTGTGAAATATTTCCATATTTTCTGTTGGATAAATATTGGTATTAAAGATTTCAACACTGATACCTTATATACTTTTTAAAAATTAAATTTGGATAGGGCCAGGGATTTAGCTTAGTGGTTCTGCCACCTGCCTCACAAGTGCAAGGACCTGAGTTTGATCCCTAGTATCAAAAAAAAAAATTAAGTTGGGGTATATTTAATGAACTGAATATACTAAGAGGTATCTGAGATGAAAAAAGTTCAAACTGTTTGTTCTTTGTAGTGCAACTGGGGTACAGTTTCAAAAATAAAAATACATAATTTGGAGCCACAGTGGTGTACAGCAGGAGAACAGGGTCTCACTATGTAGTCCAAGCTGGATTTAAACTTACAGCAACCTTCCTGCCTTAGCTCCTGAGTGCTGGGATTACAGGCATGCACCACCACATTCGGCTCATATCATGATTTTTTTTTGGAAGCGGGGTACCAGGGATCGAACTGGGACCTTGCGCTTTTGAGGCAGGCAGTGGAACCACTGCGCTAAATCCCCAGCCCTTGAATTTTAAATTAACAATGTTCAACCTGTGTATATCACTGTGCTGAAGCCAGAATCTTATTTACAGGAAAATCATTAAAAGCAACAGGACAAGGATGACCAACATCTCTACTACTATTTACTATGTACTTGTGGTACCAGCTAACGCCATTAAACACAAGAAATTAAATGGAAGTGTTACATTTAGTAAAGAAGCAGAAAACTATCTCTTTCTGCAGATAACATGGTTGCATATCTGGAAACTTCAATAAATAAAATAATAAAACTAACTCAAACATTTAAAAATTAAGTGAAATAGTCACAAAATTAATATACCAAAATCAGTTCCCTTACCAACCAGTTTTGAGCCCATAACAGCAGTCTATTTGTAATAGTATCAAAGATGAATAAATGAATTAGACAAGATATTTAGAAGTTCAAGACCAGCCTGACCTGCATAGCCAAGGCCCTGTCTCAAAAAACAAACAAAAAGATTATTTATGAGTAAATTTGACAAGAAATAAAATGTTTATATATGAGGAAAACATCCTGAAAAACACAAAGGTAGAACTGAAGAGAAAAAATACGGTGGACCCCCCCAAATTAGTAGGGGTTACGTTCCTAGAGTACCCATAAGTTCGGAAAAACTGAAAATTTCAGATATGGTCAGAAATTGTCTATAAATGCTTCTTTTATAGTTTAAACCCTAAATATGTTCTGTCTCCTACAGTTATGTAATTTAATTTAATAAAATACTGTATTAATAAAGCCTTTTGGTGGCATCTTAGAGATCTTAAGGCTTCGCGAAGAACAAAGCCGCGAACACCAGAGACAGTGACCTGTGGCAGAGCAACCTGTTACGATGCAGGGATGCCGATGCCTCTGCCAGGGAGGGGTTACAGGGCAGCAGCCAATCAGCAACGAGGAAAACTGAGTAACGCTCTCCGATTGGCTACTTGCGAACCTCCTGCCAAAAAAACAATTGTAGAGGATATTCGTGGTTTCTGAGAAATTTCGGGAGTTTCCCCCAACAGTTATGAATTAGGTTCTAAGGGAAAAAAATCATCGAAGGACTGAGGCTACGGGCTCTGAACCAAGACTTCAAGGGGGAATACTGTAGTCCCTATTTTTAGGACAACTCAACATCATATATCAGTTCTCTTTAACTTCTAAGATTAAAACAAGCCCAGTGAAAATATCGGTAAGATTTTAGAGAGCTAGACAAATGGGGAGCAAAGTTCAAATGAGGTGGTGGGGACAGGGGGTACAAAAAACCATACATAACCATTCACGAATGTAGCCAAGAAAACAATGATAAAGAAAAACCATGAGGGGCTCTTGGGCCAGAAAATAGATGTTAGTGGGTAAATAGCGAAACTTAGAATAAGGTTTATAGATTAGATAATATTGTCACATCACACTATGCTGCCCATCCTGGCGCTGAACTCCGAGGCTCAAGCATCCCTCCCGCTCAGCCTCCCAAATAGCTAGGACTAGAGATGAGTGCCCGGCTCAACATTAATGTCTTGTTCTAATAACTGAAATGTGACTGGAGAAGAACTGTAACTGGCACTCAATTTTTTAAAACATAGTGATATAGATAAAAGAATGAAAAATAATCATGGCAAATGTTAAAGGTTAGGGAATCTGGGAAAGAGAGTATTAAGATTTTTTTGGTAGTATTTCTGCCACATTCTCATTAAATATGAAATTATTTCAAACAAAATACTGTAAAAAGCATACCACAGTATACTTTAGTAAGTCTAAAAGCAGCATACCATATTTTAAAATTGACAAACATCTTAATAGGGAAGGGTGAAGGGGGTGAAGGGAGGACAGGGGTACACAGAAAAAACAAGAACCAACATCTGTCATGTAAGGGTACGAGATCCCAATGATAAATGTAACTGTATTGTTTGATTTGAATGTACCAATAAACTTAATGAAAAAATAAAAAAAATAAAACTGACATCTTTTAAAGGATAACCATGGACAAGCATAGTTTTAAAATTATAATGTGGCTACTACATTCACTATCTTGGAAAGTAAGATTATTTATTTATTTGTTTGTCTATGTATTTATTTATTTTTGAGACAGGGTCTCATTATATAGTTGAGACTGCTCTGGAACTATGTAGCCCAGGCTTGTCTCAAACTCACAGCGATCCTCCTGCCTCAGCCTCCCAGTGCTGGGATTACAGGCATGTACCACCATGCCCAGAGATATACTATTTAAATAATAATACATCACAAAATTCATTTTCCTTCCAACCACAAAGTAGGTTAAAAAAACTAAAAGGAAGGCATTGTTCTAGCCAACTACAAAAGAAAATTCAAAACAAAACATGTTTCAATACCTATTAATAAATGCTGAACAAGTGCCTAATGCCCCTCAGCTGTGCACAATTATTTAAATTTTATTTATTTATTTAAAATTAAACATAGCTATTTAAGAAACAGTGAAAAGGCTGGATGTTTTATAGTATGGTAGATCTGAGGTTTGTTTGTCTGTTTGCTTTTGAGACAGGGTCTCACTTTGTAGCCCAGGCTGGCCTTGAAATCTCCTGAGTGCTGGGGTTACAGGCCTGTTCCACTATGCCCAGCTGGTAGATCTGAGTTTGAAACACTCTGCTATAAGCTACAAGAAGTTACGTAAATTCTCTAAGCTTCAGTTTGAAAAGTAGGTATAAACCTACCTCCTAAAAGTAATTTGATTTCCTATGTAAAATATCTGATATGCCTGTGACAATTAACAAGTGTCAGCTGTAATTCCTGGAGACTGGCTGCATGATACAAAACAACATGAGTTTTTTTTGTTTTTGTTTTTGTTTTTGTTTTTTTGAGACAGGGTCTCACGGCATAGTTGAGACTGACTCAGAACTCCATATGCAGCCCAGGCTGGTGTCGACCTCACAGCAATCCTTCTGCCTCAGCCTTCCAAGTGCTGGGATTACAGGCGTGTGCCACCACGCCCCTAACAACATGAGTTTTTAAGAGATGAAATTAGCAGTGAGAGCAGACTCTGCTACTTACTCACCACATGATCTTGGGCAAATCAAAAACTTCTCTAGGTATCAGACTCTTCAGCTATAAATGGGGTACTAACACTTCTGATGATGGGTTGTTTCAAGAATTGAGTGAGATATGTGGAAATTCATTCCATCATTTAACAAAGGTCTAGCCGGGCATGGCGGTGCACACCTGTAATCCCAGCACTCAGGAAGCTGAGACAGAAGGATCGCTGTGAGTTCAAGACCAGCCTGGGCTACATAGTGAGTTCCACAGCAGTCTCAACTACATAGTAAGACCCTGTCTCAACCACCCCCCCCCAAAAAAAAAAACATTTAACAAAGGTCAATGGAGTATTTAGGCTGGGAACTACAGAACTGAAAGAAGAAAAATCTTCCTTATATACCAAGTACTCTGTTAGGAGACCTATCAAACACAAATGCAACAGGCATGGTCTGTACTTTCATAGAGCTTACTGTGCTAATAAGGAAGAAAATAAAGAAGAAGCAAAACTACATATGATAAATACATGAATGTAAGTAGTGCCGAGTACTATGAAGGAAAATAATATGGAGCTGTCTATAAAGGAAAATAATGGATAGATCTACTTCATTTTAAATAGTGAAGGAAGGCCTGTCTCTTGGAGATTAAACAATGTCAGTCTATGCCTGGCACTATTCTAGGTGACAGTAAATGAACAAGGAATAAAACTTTGTGGAATTTATATTCTGGCTAGAAGAGACATTCAATAAACAGGAACACAGTATGTATAAATATCAGATCATTAAAAGTGATATATAAGCAAGGCGTGGTGGTGCACATCTGTAACTCCAGCACTCGGGAGGCTGAGGCAGGAGGAATGCCCTGAGTTTGAGGCCAGCCTGGGCTACATAGCTCAAAGATAGTCTGAACTACAGAGCAAAACCCTGTCTCAAAGAAAAAAAAAAGTCCAGGCATGGTGGTGCATGCACTTGGGAGGCTGAGGCAGGAGGATTTGCTGTAAATTCAAGACCAGCCTGGGCTACATATCTCCAGGTCAGTCTCAACTACATAGTGAGACCCTGTCTCAAAAAGCCAAAAAAAAAAAGTAATCTAAAGCTGGTCGTGGTGGTACACGCCTATAATCCTAGCACTCGGAAGGCTGAGGCAGGAGGATCCCTGTGAGTTTGAGACCAGCCTGGGCTACATAGTGAGTTCCAGGTCAGTCTCAACTACATAGTGAGACCCTGTCTCAAAAAACAAAACAAAACAAAAAGTAATCTATTTTTAAAATCTATCGATCTATTAAAAAGTAATTGTAAGCCAGGCGTGGTGGCGCATGCCTGTAAAATCCCAGCACTCAGGAGGCTGAGGCAGGAGGATCGCTGTATGAGACCAGCCTGGGCTATATAGTAAGTTCCAGGTCAATCTCAACTACATAATCTCAAAAAACCAAAAAAAAAAAAAAAAAAAAAAAAAAAAAAAAAAGTAATTGTGGATTAAAATCACTGAGTTGGGGAGGGTATTATACAGCAATAACTAACTCATAGATTGCTATATAGTTCAGTGCCCAGAACAGTGTCTGGAATACAATGAGAATGCAATAATATCTTAAATGAGTTGGTCAGTTGAAAAGGAGCTAAAGAATAACCAAAGAGGTAAGAAAATAAGAGGAGAATGAAGGGTTGTCAAAGATGTCAAGAGAATGTTTCAGTAAAGAAGTGCCTGGAAGGGACTAATGGGACTGAGATCCAGTCAAGGAGAAGGATTTATTGGATATGGCAAACACGGCACTCATTGGTGGCCTTGAGAAAAGAAGGAAGCCAGACTGGAACGAACTGCGGTTAAAATGGTTAAGAAATAGTTGCAAAACAGAAAATTCCCATGACCAAAATCTGGCACTGTTCCTCTATGTGATCCCACCACTTCCTTGAAGTTTTTATGTTATTTTATTTTTTCTTTCTGATTACTTGATCCTGGCTACTGAAGCTGGAATATTTTTCCTATGAAAATAGGAATGCTGGGGCTAGGAATGTAGCTCAGGGTTACAGCACTTGCCTAATGTGTGGTAAGATCCTGGGTTCAATCTCCAGCACCACAAAATAAATAAGCAAACAAGCAATGCTGAACTTTCCAATATGACTCACAGTATACAATTAGGCACCTGTTCAATCATACAAGAGAAAAAAGCAAAATAAAACAAAACGCTGTCTGCACTGTCCTATGCTTTACCTAACTCGCTAAGACAGGCCAACTGCGGACCCTCAGGAAAGTAGGACATTTTCCTACAAAATAAATACAAAAATTTTGACTTCATAAAACAACATGGAATGACAAGTGATAATGGACTCTTGATAGACTTTACAAATTAGGAATAAAATTTGGCTATAAAAATCTATTACAAAGAGCAAAGAGTACAGCTCAGTGATAGTCTACTTACCTAGCATGCACAAGGCCCTGGGTTCAACACCAGCACCGTAATACATGAGTCCACCAAAAAAATGTATATACACTTTAGCAATTAATTGTACTAATAAAGTCTGGAAGCTAACAGCTACCACTTTGAGCACCTCTTATAACTGCAGAGGCCAACAGTAATTTGTATTAATCTCATCCTGTCTCCATAAATTTAATATTAAAATATGTATATATTTTTTTCGTGATGCATATTTTTTTTGGCAGACTATATTACCAGGAGAAAGTTTTAGTCTTATTATATTCAGAATTGATAATTCTCATTTTATAGTTCATTATTTAAAGAGTCAAATTTTGTCCTATTTTTCTTATTTCAATTTCCTACTGCACAGTACCCGAGCTATTTCCCTAGGAAATAAACCCTACTTTCAACTAATTCAAAAACCATTTTATATCTTATATATCCTGGTATTCTCCAAAGTTCCTTAATAAATACCTATTAGTTCCTATCTCATGTGCGTAACTAATAAGTCTGAAAAGGTTTTTAAACATACCATATTTTTCCATGTGCTCTCTTCCAGCAGACCCAAACATCTGAGCAGCAACTGGGTGGGGAGACAACCCACATTTAGCGATGAAGATTTCGAGGTGTTTATCAGTTGGAAAGGTCCTATCTGGAAACTAAAAGAAGGAAAACGCAAAATGTGACAAGGAGTTGGCAAAGATCAATGCCTCTTTAAACTACAACAATGATACTAAGGCATTTGCTTATTCTAAGCATAGTAAATTTAAACATGGTCAATGTGACTATAACCATTAATAAATGGCTATGTGGGAAAACAAAGGAAGAAGAAAAAAAATAAATGATCAAAGAGATAATATTTTAAGAATGTTTATCAAGCATCCAATATGCGAGAGTAACTACTCAAGGCACAGGGGATAAAGGGGTGAGCAAACTGGCTAAGGATTTTCGTTCATCTGTCGCTTACATTTAAGAGGAGGGTAACAGAAGACTATAGGGATAAAAATAAATTAAAATGTAAATAATAATGCTATAAAGAAGAATAAGTCTGTGTGGGAGGATAAAGACTAGGGAAGCACTAGTCTGTAGACAATGGTAAGAGGAGGTTTCACTGACGCTGACATTTAAGCAGGAACATGAAGGAGCGGGGAGTAAGTCACCTGTGTCATCTTGGGCAGAATGAACAGCAGAAACAACGATGCTGAGATAAGAGTATAACTGGGGTTCAGAAAAGTAGCTGATCAGGGTAAGGATAAAGTGATTCCCAGAAATGCAAGCACCTCTGTTTCCATGGTTCTAGAGCAGATGAGCACAGCTCCCCTGTAAATATTCCTCAAGGGGAAACTCACTGGTTCTTGTCAGTTACCTGGGCTGTATCACAGCCCTCGCTATACACACCCCACTAACATACAGCCTGCTACATGGTAACCACTCCACAAATAATTATTCAATGAATAAACAGAAGATTTTTTTTGGTCAACAAAGTGTTCTAAAGGGGATGCTATTTAGCCATTCTCCTTCATTGAGAAAAAATAGGCTTAAAAGAAGAAAATAAATAAACACCTGGGTATAGTGGTATGCACATTTATATTCTCAGCTCTTAGAAGGCTGAGGCAAGATTGCAAGTTTGAAGCTAGTCTGAGCAACATAATGAGGCCCTGTCTCAAAATAAAAAGGACTGGAAGTGTAGGAGATGTAGAGCAACCCAGGGTTCCAGCGTCAGTCAAAAAGAAGAAGACCAGGAGGAGGAGGAAGGGGGAGGAGAATGGCACGTATGGATCAATGGAATAGAAGTGAACGGACACCAAAAAAAAACCCTCATACTTACCATTAACTGATATTCAAGGAAGGTACCAAAATACCTCAGTGGAGGCCACAGCCTCCGAGGAACTTACAAACAGTGCCAAAAACACCTGTTCTCAGCCTAAGGAGACCATAAGACATCTTGACAAAAGATAGAGGACAAGAAAATATTGTTCTTTTCAACATGTTCAAATGGGAAGGGGAACAAGAGAGTGGGCAGGGGAAGGGAAGGGAAGGAAGGAAAAAGATTTTTAAAAAGAGAATGAAAGGAAAAAAATGGATATAAAGCTTTTGCAAATGAGGAGACAAAGATGGGTCAAGGGGAGGGGAGGAGAATGGAAAAAAAAAGAAGAATTAAGATATATTATGGACCAGGGATTTAGCTCAGTGGTTCCACTTCCTGTCTCACAAGCATAAGGTTCTGAGTCTGATCCAGATACCTATATGTGTGTGGTATTAATAATAATAATATATAATATTTTATGAATAGTACTCCATTATATATAAAAAAGATATATTATGCACATAAATTCCCTATGATGAATGTGATCATTATGTATGGCAAAGATATACAAAAAATACATACATATATACATACGTACATATATACAATATTATTCTTCTATACAATCTCTCCCTTGGTAAAAATTTTAACTCCTACTGCTCCCCTATGCCTGTTTGTGACATGAACAGTTTACAATGGCAGCCAATCCCAGACTCTGATGCCTAAAATTCAGTCAAGAGCTTATTTAACCTTGCTAACTTTACAACCAATTTCACAGGGTCAAATGACCCAAAACATAAGTACTCAGAGGCCGTATAGAATGGCAACATTCCATCACTGAAGAAATTAAAAACTAAGCAAAGTAAATAAACTAATAAAAACTGTTGATATCAAGAGCTATTGACGCATGTCACCACATAAGGGCAGTAGCCTCTTAAGTCTCTTGGCTACACTAAGGATTCTACAAAAAATATGTGAAAATCTTATATGTTAATCATAAATTTTCAGGCAACTATATTGAAGAAGTAAAAGAGGGGCCAGAGATTTAGCTCAGTGGCTCCATCACCTGCCTTGCAAGCACAAGGACCTGAGTTTGATCCCTGGTACCAAAAAAAAAAAAAAA